ATGCCTTTTAAGGGAATATAGTACCTTTTATATAGACATGTACTAGAGTTTAGGGTTGAGTAGCCTCCAAGAATTCTAATTGAAACTGAACACACTTTCTAGAGTCCCAATTCGAATTGAACACGTCTTGTTGAGTCCCACAAAATTTCAATGGCTACACGGGGTATGGACAAGTTAAGAAAAAAAATTAAAGGATGAAGTAGAGTTTAGGAAAATGTTTTTCATAATTTTGGAAGGGGATTCATTTTCCTTAAATATGAGAAAAATGAGTTGATTTGAAAAATATTTTTCAAACATTTAATCCAACCAAACCAAACGTGAGGAAATTGATCCTCCATACCAAACACACCTAGATTGTATGATGAAGCATAAGAGTGAACACAACCGTCAGAATCAATGACTGTTGTGTTTCATTAATATTTTGTTAGTGATATAATATATATGTGGAGCATATTATTATATCAAATGATAAAATTGTGAACATAACAAATAGATATATATATATCCATAAGCAGAAGGTCGGTATAGTGATATTTGTCCCCTCTATTTGTTTTTATTGATTGGGCAAACAAACACATAAGGGAATGGAGGAAAACAAAAGGTGATAGCTTTGTGCGTTTGTGGGTCAGCATGAGGCGTTTAGACCTTACAAGTCTCAAAATCATCAATACAGCTACAACACTTAAAGGAGGGTGAATGAAACAATTTGTAAAGTAATGGTAATGCATGTTCCAAGACCCATATCGCACCACCGCCAATACTCTACCAAATCTTACTTACAACTATTTTTATTTTCAGAGTTTAACATAACAAAGTTTTAATTTCGAAAGTACACCGTCCACCACAATATGTTGTATTCACATGTTTTCAGTTTATATTCGTGTATACCCAACTTACTTTTGTTCAACAATTGTTTATAATACGCCCAATATACTACATTTCATTGTTAATAATAATATTAATCTTATGTAAAAGTGTATATTAAGAGTCTTTGGGTAGAATGTATAAGAATAATGTTAAATAGAGTATATTAGTAATGTTTTCATTATTAATGCTTGTATTTGTTATGGTTGCATTAATTATACATAGATATTTTTATGCATTGTTTGCTTTGGTGCATTAAAAAGTAATATACACCCTAATACACAATAGAGTGCATACATAGATTGGAAAAGAGTACCAAACAAGTTACTAGTGATACACAAAGATAATGCATGCATTATTTTTCCTGATACACTCTACCAAACGACTTATGTGCATAAATAATTTATACACACTTTTACATTGTTACACATCACATGTGAATTAGAGGATTTCTCATAGTTGGTGTTAGAACATTTTTGTGGTAAGATTATAATTTAACTAACAAAGCGAATTCTCAATTTAATCAGAAGAGCCTAGAGAGCTCTCTGATATCTTTCCCTAAATTCCTACTAGAGTTATACAAAATTATATAATATTATAAGAAAATTGTGTTTCGTTTCCCATAAAGTTCAACCCACGAAACAAAATGAGTCAAAAATATCATCAAAGTGCTCAAATCTTCATTGAATACCTTCAAATTTTAATCATAACTTCAAGATGACACACCACCAAATCTCAATCATCAATTTATCGAAAATTCGACAAATAGAAAAATCCATTTGTACATTTTCAAGCTTTTAAAAAATATGTATATGTATATATAGAGAGAGATGCCTATTGTTCCAATTTTCACTTTCCATGCAAGGATATTGTTGCTCCAAAAGTGCACACGCAAGTGTACACAATCATACAAGTAATAAAGTAATTCTATTACTTGTTATTCACTCAAGCTATGTGACAATCAGTGAATTGAAATTTTGACGCAATCGGCTATTAAAAGAGAGTAGTCGACTTTTTTGCTGGTTAATATAATATAATTGATAAAGTAAAGTACTAAAATAAATTGAGTCAGGGATTTTTTTTTCGACTCGATCACCAATGTGGTGTCTAGTACATTTCCCTTGAGTTACAAGGATTTTGTTTTAGAGTTTTTGAAGTACTTGTGTGTATAGAGTTGTTGGTCCTTGACTCTATCTGATGCACGATTAGATATTATAGTTTGACAGAGTCTCTACATGTATAACTTATACTGACTTTTTATTTCACTTTTCTTTTATAATTGTGAACTCAAAAATTACGGAATAGTATGAAAGATAAAAGTATGGCAGTATACAAGTTCAAGTGGAGTGTGTTGTTTTCTTTTGTTGGTATGGCTGCCTCTTATAGTCATCTTTGGTGAGGCTACTCCTGCTCTAAAAAGAAAATTCAAGGATGTTTCATTCTCTTAGAAGCTCTTGTACCTATCTAGACTAGTTCCTAGGGAGGGTTCCATGTATTTTTTAAAGACATTCTATTTTTATCAAATACTGAAAGTATTTAATGTATTTAAAGAGGGTGAGAAATTTATATTTGTTTACTTCCTCATTAACAGTTTTCAAGTAGCTGGTGAGGATTTTCCTATGTAGGTGTTAGAGTAGGTGCCGGCACGGCTTAGTCGTTTGGTTTGTGACAATTTCATTTTGTTCCTACACAACCTGAACCGTTTGGACTTCAAAGTTTGTCTCCAAACCTTCAACCTAATATTACCTCTGTCCCGTGTCTTATCAATCAATACTATGTCATCCAAAAATAACATACGACATGTAACCTCCTCTTGAATAGACCGCATTAACTCATCCATCACAAAGGCAAATTAGAAATGGCTAAGAATTGATCCCTGATATAGCTCTATCTCCACTGGGAAGTGCTCCGAGTCTCCTTTCACTATTCTAACCCAAGTCTTGCCTCCATCATACATGTCTTTTATTGCCGTAATATAAATCATTGGGACACCTCTAGCCTCCAAGAACCTTCAGAGGACATCCCTCTGAACTTTATCATAGGCCTTTTCAAGGTCAATAATCAACATGTGTAGGTCCCTCTTCCTTTCTCTATATTTCCCAAACTAGTCTTCGCACAATATGGATGGCTTCAGTAGTCAATCGTCATGGCATGAATCCAAATTTGTTCTCGAAAATGGGCAACCCTCTCCTTACCATCATCTCCACTACTGTCTCTCAAATCTTTCTAGTGTGCCTTAGCACTTTAATACCTCTGTAATTTTTAAAGTATTGAATATCACACTTATTCTTGTATAATGGAACCATTATAGTCCACCTCTATTCGTTGGGCATTTTCGTTGTCTTAAAACTAGCATAAAACAATCTAGTTTACCATTCCATGCCTACTTTTCCTGTGGTTTTCAAAAATTTCTCTAGAATCTCATTGGATTCAATCACTCTTCCCCTCCTTATCCTACTAATAGCACATATAATCTCCTCAACTCTAAAATACCTATAATACCCAAAATCCCAAAGTCTATCGCATTGTGCCAAATCATTCAACACAATGTCTCTGTTCCCTTCTCTTTTTAAGAGTTTATGAAAGTGTGCTTTCCACCTTTGCTTAATGGAGGTGTGTTGCACCAACCCCTTGCCTTTCCTCTCCTTGATGCACTTTACTTGATCCAAGTGCGAGCTTTCTGTCTTTCGCTTTCGCGAACCTATACAGTTTCTTTTCCCCAACTTTGTCCCCTAGCTCAACATATAAGCGTTTGAAAGATACCGCCTTAGCCGTCATAACCGCTAACTTACCTTCTATCTTCGTCGCCTTATAGACTTCCTTAAGAGTCCGCTTCTCTTCCTCATCACGCACTCCGCAAACTTTGTATATGCAATCTCCTTTGTTTTCACTTTGCCTTGGGCTTCTCCATCCACCACCAATCTCTTTGATGACCACCAAAGTTACCCCTCGATGCCCCTAGCACCTCTATATTTGCTTCCCTAATGTAACTAGTTGCCTTATACCATATGTTGCTCATATCCCCGCTACCACTCCAGGAATCAACACCAATTAATTTCTCTCCATCTCCCGAGAAAGGGCAGGGTTCAAGCCACTTCGTTTAATCCTAGGTAGGTCAAATGAGGTCTTCTTCCTTCTATCCCCCTTAATCTCCAAGTTCATCACCAAAAGCTTGTATAAGATAGTAAATTCTCCCTCGGGATAATCTTGCAATCCTTACAAAAGCCTCTATCATCCTTTCTAAGGAGTAAGTAATCTATTTGAGTCTTAGCTACTGTGTTACAAAAGGTAACTAGGTGGTTCTCAAAAGCACAAGTTAGCAATTACCAACTTAAAAGCATTAGTAAAATCTGAAAGCAAAGCTCCACCTCCCATCCACTCCTCTCCCCAAAATCAAAACTTCCATATATCATTGAAGCCACTAGAAGTTGCCCCGATATGGCTATTAAAATCTCCACCAATAATAATAAATATTATTTACAAATAATAAAATATTATTTATTAGTCAACATTTATTGTATGATTATTTCCATTATTACAACTTCAACGCGAAAAAGTACATAAAAATTTCCCAATTTAAAAACTTATTTAATGTGAGGAATACTTCAAGTAAAACGATAATTTTCACTCAAAAAACATCAGAAACGAAGTCAGAGGGATATCAGTTTACCCTCTCCTTCCCTCAATGTTTTGGCTTTGTCTTTTTGGTTCTTCCAACTCTTTTTAAAAAAAATGAAATTCGTGTTCAAACAAATTTAACTCTAACTATCCATTTGACTAGTGTGTTGCATAAAATTTCATTAAAAGAGAAGCATTTTATATTATGATTTTTTTCCCCATAGCTCGATTCTAATTTTGGAATACTCTTTTTTCAACTTTAAAGTTCAAATAGTGAGTTTAATTATTTTAACTTCAATCAAGTATGATAAAAAAAAATGATAGCTAAAATATATATGCTAGAACCTTCCATCTTTCAAAATGGGATATGCCTAATCCCAACCAAGCAATGATGTGTCTCAAACTAGTAGTGGAGGGACACTTTTTGTCGAAAACGTTTGCCTATAAAATGAGGGAGGAAAATAAAGTGTGACTACATACATACATAGTGAAAGAAGAATTCAATAATAACATATTAATTCTCGAGTAGTCTTTTATTTTTCAACTCTTTCACTAAGTTGAAAAGAAAGAAAAGGTTAGTAGTACAAGTTAATTAAAAAGCATCATCACAATTGATTCTTTTCTCTTGATAATTAGTAATTACGTACTACTTTGTTTCAGATGAGTTTGACTGTTGCAGATGCTATGGACTACAAAGGGTCCCCTGCTGATAAGTCTAAAACTGGTGGTTGGGTACCTGCTACTCTTATCTTAGGTTTGTATTAATTTCGAATTTTTAATTTGAAGTTAGACATATATATTATATGATAAAGCTAAGTAGGCTGGCTTCACCATCTCAAAATTTCCTCCTTGTATTATTAAATACTAATTGTTGAAATGGTTATGGTTAAGTAATTAGCTGAATTGCAGGTGTATATATATATATATATGCATATGCATGTTGCTTCTCCAACTAAACTTGCGTCATGTCATGAAATTATATAGATTTGAGAATAAATTAAGAATTGTACGTTTGGATATTCTAATGGTTCACGAGAACACATGACAGATTCCTAGGTAGCAAGATCCCGTTCTGGTTAATAAAAAAAATACTATACCTGATCCTCAAACTGTGTTTTGGCCGTACGTTTTGTTTGGTTCATATATAAAATTGATACTCCAATTTCTATATTTTTCTTTCAAATCAATAATAATGCCCGTTTGGTAAATGAATGTATTTTTTTGTTGTTGCAGGGATTGAAATAGTTGAAAGGCTTTCAACGATGGGAATAGCAGTAAATCTGGTGACATACTTAGGTGGTGCTATGCATTTGGCTAGTTCAAATTCAGCCAATATTGTAACAGATTTCATGGGCACCTCCTTTCTCCTCTGCTTGCTTGGAGGCTTTCTTGCTGACTCTTTCCTCGGCAGATACAAAACTATTGCACTATTTGCTCTTATACAGACACTGGTAATGGAGTAATTCATACAGTAACACTTTTCGAAGAATTTATATTGGAATTTGATCATATATATACTGTACTACTTCAGGGAACTGGGATGTTAACAGTGGCGACCAGCCTGCCCCAACTGCGACCCTCTCCATGCCATCGTCATGATGTCAATTGCCAACCAGCAAATGGTTTTCAAATGGGAATACTATACTTAGCTTTATATCTCATAGCATTGGGTACTGGTGGCTTAAAATCTAGTGTGTCAGGATTTGGAACGGACCAATTTGATGAGAAAGATGACAAGGAAAAGGCGCAAATGGCATATTTCTTCAACAGATTCTTCTTCTTCATCAGCTTAGGGACATTGACAGCAGTTACAGTGCTTGTTTACATCCAAGATGAAGTTGGACGGATTTGGGCATATGGTGTTTGTTCAGTATCCATGTTCATTGCCATCATAATATTCCTTCTCGGTACTAAAAGGTACCGATACAAGAAAAGTGCAGGAAGTCCTATTGTTCACATTTTTCAAGTCATTGTTGCTGCTATAAGGAAGAGGAAAATGGATCTTCCATATGATGCTGCCATGCTCTATGAGAGTACGTCTACTCCAGAGGCTATGACAATCCAACACACACAAGAATTTAGGTTAATTAACACAATATGTTTTGCTTAATTTTTATTTAGTACTTTATATATATCTAGAATTAAAATATTTATATTTGTATACTGGCTGTGTACGTACGTAGAATATTGGACAAGGCTGCTATCGTAACTGAGGGAGATTTTGAGGAGCATGCATCTTGCTCTGCTCCAAATCCATGGAAGCTTAGCTCAGTGACAAGGGTCGAGGAAGTGAAAATGATGGCAAGGTTGCTCCCAATTTGGGCCACCACTATAATATTCTGGACCACCTACGCACAAATGATTACATTTTCTGTTGAACAAGCTTCTACCATGGAAAGAACAATTGGCAACTTCCAAATTCCAGCTGGATCTCTCACTGTCTTCTTTGTCGCAGCCATCTTGATAACCTTGGCTCTTTACGACCGAATCATCATGCCACTTTGGAAGAAATGGAAAGGGAAACCAGGTAATTAATTAAACATGAATATATAATTAATTACTTAGAATTAATGCAACCTAATCATGATTCATGTGCGCGAGTGGCTTCCAGGTTTTACAAACCTACAAAGAATTGCCATTGGCCTTGTTTTATCCGTAATAGGAATGGCAGCAGCTGCACTAGCAGAGCAGAAAAGATTAACAGTTGCGAAATCAGTGGGCCGCAACACTTCAACTTTGCCAATTAGTGTATTCCTCTTGATCCCACAGTTCTTCTTAGTAGGAGCTGGGGAAGCCTTCATATACACCGGACAACTTGATTTCTTCATAACACAATCACCCAAAGGGATGAAGACAATGAGTACTGGCCTTTTCTTGACAACCCTTTCACTTGGTTTCTTCATTAGCAGCTTCTTGGTCTCGGTTATCAATAAGACGACCAAAAGCAATGCTACAGCTCAAGGCTGGCTTGCAGACAATATTAACTATGGAAGGCTAGACTTCTTCTATTGGCTTCTTGCTGCGTTAGGAGTCATAAACTTTGCCATCTATCTAAATTGCGCAACTTGGTACAAACCAAGGAAGCCTAAATCTGCCATACCCATGGAGACGTTGCACAATGGATATGGAGCTGAAGACAAGTGCTAGAATATAGCTAAGTGCCAATGTAGCAAACATACTATATAGTATGATTTTCAAGTTGCCCTTTATGATTTTATTAGTTTCTCGTATACCGAATCATGTAATGTATGATTTTGTTAAATAATATCAATATTATGAAACCCACATTTAATTTGAGAGAATAATTAAAAAAATAAAACAAAGAATGAAGTGTAAGTTTTTGCGGATGATTTAATGTTGATGCCGTATCGTGGCTTCTCTGTCAAATTCACAATGATGGATATGTAAGGATTTAACAGATTGTGAAAACATAAACTATCTGATTATTCATAAATCCAATCAACTATTCACGATCGTAGAACTACATGACTTTCACATAAAATTAATAACTCAATCAAGAATACATATCTAAATCAGTCATAGTGTTCTTCGAGAATATTGACTTGAATTGAGTGGAACTATTTTCTTAATTATTTTTCAGAAGTTGTTTCTCTCCCTTACCTTACACTTTCAGAATAAATTTGATGGATAAGACTAAATTTTTTGGCGGAGAGAGGACACTTTAATTTGGAGAGTTATTCCTACATTCCATCTGAGAAATGGATATGAGTAGTTTTTAAACTACTAGGTAACTTTCTCATCTTTATGGGTAGTTTAAAACTACTTGGTAACTTCCCCATACAAATTTAGGATTCAACTTATTTTACTTATTAAATCAAAAAATATAACTACATGGTTTAATATGTATGTTAATCGTCATGTGCACAATTAATGTTAAATTCAACATCATTTGTCATCATTAAGTAAATCAATTAGTATGAGTCATGGCGGTTGTACATCACTTTATTTGGCATAGTCCCTTCCATGCACTACAATATTAGTCTATTACCTAAAACAACTTTTCAAATACATAATGGGTCCAATAATAATGCTTAATATTTTATCTAAGTCATAACATGTCATCATCATTCTCAACAGTACTATGTATACAAAAGAAAACAGGTAACAATAGAAACATATATATTTCGAGCTCAAAGTGTCAATGTGCATGAATATAATAAAGTCTTTACATAAAGTTATTCAGTGTCATCAATAATGTCTATTCTTTCAACATGTTCAAAAAATATTTCTAAACTTCTTCTTTAACCGGAAAGTATGTCAATTCCATATATTTGGCACTCTTTGAATACTTATCATTTTTAGAGAAGAAGACTGTTGCAGTATTATCACAATAAATTTTTAGCGGCTTGAAAATACTGTCGACTAGTTCAAGTCCTGAAAAAAAGTTTCTCCGCCAATTAGTCTGAACAGTGGTCTCAAAGCATGCCACAAACTCAACTTTCATAGTGCATGCAGCTATAACAAACTGCTTCACACTCTTCCATGATATTTCTCCTCCAGCTAACAGAAAAAAATATCTAAATGTTGATTTTTTTTGTATCCACACAACCAGCATACTCTGAATATGAATATCCAACCACATCAAGATGATCAAATCTTCTATAAGTGAGCATATGATCTTTCGTTCCTTATAAGTATCACAACACTTTCATTACCTCCTTCGAGTGGTCCATTCCTGGATTACTTTAATAACGACCCAACATTCCAACATCAAAACTTTGTCTAGTCTCGTTCATGTCTGGGAATACATTAGGCTCCAAACGACTGATGCATAAGGAATGTCTTTCATTTACTTACGTGTCAATTCATTCCTTCGACATTGATTGAAATTAAATTTATCTCCATTCTGAATTGGAACAGACTTGATGAGCATTTTTCCATTCTAAATCTCTCTAACACTTTATTAATATAGTCTTTCTAAGACAAACCCAATAAGCCTTGTGATTTATCTCAAAATATATCTATCCCAACCACATAGGATGCCTCTCCCATATCTTTCATTTCAAAATTGTTAGAAAGATATTTTTTGGTATCATACAACAAATCAAGATCATTATTAGCAAACAAGATGTCATCAATATACAAAACTAACATAATAAACTTAATCCCACCGATCTTCATATAAATAAATACAAAGTGATAGTACATTTAGTACTTTTAAAGTGATGTTGAGGTGGGTCAAATAAATATGATAATATCAAAGTATGACTAATAAAAACTTATGTGTAACACCTCGGATTCAAAAGATAAGAAATTTCAATCTTTCCAAAAATCTGGTGCCAACACAGACGGAGTCACCGATGGACCGTTGGTGGGACCACGGTCCGTAGGTTGGTCTGTCGTTGGCAAGTTCAAAGATTAGTTGAAATGTCTAGCTCCAGTACTTTTTGACAGTCCACCAAGACGACCCGTTGACATATCCATGAATTGTAGGTAGGTCTCGTAGGTGAGTTTCAGACTTAGTGGAATTTTAAGAATTTGTAGCTTGACCTATAGAGGCCATGTACGGACCGTAGGTTGACCAATGGACCATACATGGGTCCCGTTAATCGAAGGTACAAAAACAAATTTTTTGAACCCATCGACGGTCAATCAGGACGGTCCGTAGGTGGACCCATGGATCATAGGTGTAACACCTCGAAATTTTTTTGAGGTAAGACTTGAACCATCCTTCGTAGTGAGTAAGTTTTTACCAAGAAATTTAAATTTTTCTTGAGTGTTAAGGTCACTAGATGTAGCACCTTGAGTTCCAAAAAGAACTAAATATAATTCATTCAAGTCATTCCTAGGTTCATTTAAGTTTTGGGTCAACTTCAAACGACCATAACTTTCAGTATAGGATGAGTTAGGAGACCCACACGATATCAAATGAAAGATCTCTGAGTCCTCTTTCCAACGTTGCCAAATTTGCTAATATTTGAGCTTGTATGAGGTAGATATGCCCGTTTGAAGTCGGGCTATCCAAATAAGGAATGTTACCCGAAAATATGAGGGGTATTTTGGTATTTTCCTTACCCAATCGGATTTAAACATTTTTGGTAAGGTTTTAGGAGTCTAAACTGATTGGAATCAGTTTTAGTTATTCCTAAAATACGCTTAGGCTTTTTAGATGAGTTCAAGAAGAGAAAAGAGGAGAAAAAGTTCAAAGTTCCAAGCGTTCGTTCAAGAAATTCAAGATTTCGCCATGAACCTAGTTCTTTGAGGTATGTAAGCTTCCATAGTGTAGGGTTTTGTTCACCCACACGCCAATCATGAGTTTCTTTTGTCGAATCTATCCATAAATATTGAGCAATTTAATTTCTTGATGAGTTCTTGATAAATGTTCTTGAACTTTCCTTATCGATTAAGTTTTGATGTAAGATTCTACTTGGGTCAACTTCAAACGACCATATCTCTTATAATATAAAGAGCTACGTGACTTGTAAGCTATCAAATTAATGGTATTTGAATCTACTTTCCAACGCCACCAATTTCGCGTCAATCCAATTTCTGAGTAAAAAATTATGACTATTTTAGTAACCTGATACAGTCCTGTTACGAATTAGCCGACGGGAAAACATTAAAAAGCGTCGTTTTTATCTTTTTACCATCAAGAAAATCCTAAACGAATTTCTTAATTAATTAAAGGCTCAAAACAATTAGATTTTCATCTTTTAATCCATCATTCTCTTCTCTCTCAAACCCTAAGGAAAAATCAAAGTAGAAGACTTTATTCAAGATTCTTCTTCAAGGTATGTCTTTCTCCAAGAATTCCATTCTTTTCAACTCAAATTCCTCCGTACAATTATGAATCACTAATAAAAATCATAATTCTTGGCCATAGAGATTTCAAAAAATTAATTCAAGAATCTCAAGAAAGGTTTTCTTGATCGTTTTCCTTCAAGCTAGGGTTTCAAGGTTTCTAATCAAGTTCTTCTTCAAGATTCTTCAAGAACCTTGTTCTTCCAGGTATGTAAAGGCTATCATAGTATTGGACTAGTTCGTACTCACGCCCTACATCTACTTTCAAAATCAGTAAAAGAGAAATCTAGGATTCTACCCCTAGATATGAGTATTCTTGAGATAACTTTATTTGGGTTCTTGAGTTCATGGTTCTTTTAAAAATTCTATTCCTAATTATTGAGTTTCTATATTTTTATTGAGGTCCTTGATTTGATTTGTTCATGTCTATAATTCAGCTTGAACCCTATTTCGAGTTATAAATCTTGAAAAAAAATTCAAAGCCAACACTTGAGTTTTAAACTGAGTTATGAGGAAGTATGAGAACGAGGAGAGTCGTAACATGAGTTCCATATTGTTATTTAGACCCTTGAGTCAAGTCGTTCATGCCCATAAATTTCGCATGAACTCCATCAGTTGAGTATCTTTGAGAGGGGTAGTATCTTCAAGTTCTAACTCTTGAGTATTGAGTTCCTAATAATTTTGAGATTATGTTCCTAATCATGGGGCTACTACATGTTACCCATGAAGGTCCTTGAGATGAGTAGTTCATGCCCATAATTCCGCATGAACCCTATGAGTCGAGCAGCCTTGAGATGAGAGGTATCATTGAGTCCTTGAGTTAAGTAGTTCATGCCCATAATTCTGCATGAACCCTCCGAGTCGAGCATTCTTGAGATGAGTAGTATCATTGACTCCTTGAGTTCTGAAGTTGTTGAGTTCCAAGTATTGAGTTCTATGCATGGTTATTAAAACCCTTGAATTGAGTCGTTCACGTCCATAATTCGACGTGAACCCTATTTTATGAAGTCTTTTTACAAATTATTTTAAAACTTGTTTTAAAGACTTGAGCACTGAGTTGAGGAAGAGTAGAGTTTGAGTTCATTTTCTTTAAAATGATATATTGGGAACTAAGTATTGTTGACACCCAATTTTGACCCTCCCCGATAATAATTGATTTCCGAGCTCCTTGATTTCCAATCGATTTAGAATAATTAGCCTTATAAAAATTCAAATAGTTTCAAGGTTATTCTAAGTAATTTCAGTCGATTTTTATAGTATTTTGAATAATAAATATATTTCATACAATTGGTATATTTTAAGAATATTTGAAAATCATATCAAAAGATTTCTACATTGTTAAAATAAATATTTTATTTATTTAAGTTTTGGTTGGAATTATAGTTTTAAAGTTCGAATTAATTAGTTGGTATCTAAATTAATTATTTTATAATCAAGTTAATTATTTTATCTCGTTAAGATTAAGAAACTCATAAATTAATTATATTAATTCGTCCTAGTTAAATTCCAGTCGAGTCTTTTAAATTAATTATGTT